TGCTATCAACACCTTTAATTATAGAGTTGCACCTGCTTTACAGTGTTTGAAGGGGGACCTATTACCTTTACTGACATGGAAAGTAATTATAGAACCGTGCTTCTATGTTAATTTGTTATGCCTGCCTCTGTCTCTTTAAACCCCCAATGCCTTGGTAGATGGACTCTTACACTGAGCCTGATTCTACTGGAGGTGTTATCCTGTTAAAAGGGAGTTTTCCTCTCCACTTTCGCTGCATGCATGCTTGGTGTGAGCGATTGCTGTAGAGCAGGCATGCCCAAAGTTGGTACTCGAGGGCTGCTGTTTTGCAGGGTTTAGAGGTTTTCTTCTTCAGCATAGCTGATTTTCAGTGATGGGCGATTAACAGGCTTTCACTGAACTGCAATCATCAGAATCAGCTGTGTTAAAGCAGGGAAACCTAAACCTGCAGGACAGGGACCCTCGAGGACCGAGTTTAGGCATGCCTGCTGTAGAGTCAATGAGTCGATGCAATCAGCTGGTTTTCCTTAGAAATGTTTAAACCAATCTAATTGTATGATCTAGTTGAATTGTCTCTGAGAAGTGCCTTAAGATGACATGTGTTGTGAATTGGCTCTATATAAATAAACTGAATTGAATTAAATCAGTAATGTATGCAGTGATATTGCTATGCATACAGAGTTCAATATATCTAAATTTCCTTATAACAATTAGTCACTATTGGTGGTAGAGAGGGTCAAAATTAATATTTTTATGCTTTTGATTATTCCTAATATAAATTTATATTGGCCAAATGAGGTTGATCATAGATTTTTAAAAAGTCAGTATGATTAATGGCCACTGGTCCGGTCGTTGCATCTCTAAATAAAGGGCAAGTCATCCTTAGTTTAAAATTCTGCCAAAACAAAACAATCAAATATTCAACTAACTGTTGTAACTAAACAAAAAAAAGCAAACGATGCTGAATATTTCTAAATACCACTTCAGGAGCACAGAGTCCAGGGCTGCTGAGTGGTAATAATCTGTTTCACTCTGGGAAACACAAGGGAAACACTGACCCTTCCTCCCCCCTTCAGCAGCTTAAAGGGTCATAATCCATCACGAGGCTAGTAGTCAGTTAGTGCCCATTGGCACAGCAAACACTTCCAAACTGTCACTCAGCAAAAGGCACGAGGCTTAAAACCTTCCATCTGTGTGTGACAGGCAGAGAGCTTCACAGGCTAGGTGAAAAATCCCTCTCAATACAGCTTAGCTGAAATACTTCAGTGGTAGCACAAACATAACACATCAATTTATTTTTTAAAGCTGTCACTGAACAAATCTTGTTTAAACCTTAAATGAGAATAATCCTGTACAGTTTAAGTAATAAATTATCATGTTTACAGAAAACATGTCTCCATTTTTTGTGAGAAACAGTTCCATCGACCACATTTCACTTTTTTAGGTTAATAAATATATGTCAGACGACTGGATATTACCCAACATTGCAAATTTACCATAAATCAAACCTAAAAGTTAAAGTCAATCTCTAGTATTCTTAACAGGTCTGGACTAAGAAGCATTAAAAGACTGAAGGCATTCTTTACAATGAAAACATCTATGCTTAGTCTAAAATATCCCAAAATCTGTGGAAGACTCTAATAAAGCCTTTGGTTTTCTGCTGGAAAGATTAATTTAATCCAAATGAGAAGAACAGTTTCAGAGGAGGGAAAACGGAGAAACCATCTAGGAATGATGTGAATAGCTGAGGTCTTCGTGAAAGAATTTAATCCAACTAAAGAGGAAAAGTTTCTCAAACTGAATAAGATTTTGCTGCTAAAAACTTGACTTTCCAAACTTAAATGCAGTTCGCTTTATCATCGTTTACATTTTCTTCCCTTAATACAATAACATCTTCGAATTTGATAACATATGCTAAGTCACAGTTTAATTTTTTACATTGCATCACCATGGTATGCTAACAGCAGGGTGTAACGGTCTATCACCGCCGTTTAAAAATAAAAACACATTTTCTTACCTGAAGTCTCATCTTCTGCCACTTTTCCACCTCTGCTGTGCTTAGTGTTGGCTTGTTCCTCATCTTCCCCCCACCAGGACGGTTGGCCATACAAAGGTGTGGGCTTTGATATTGGAGAATCAGTGGAAGCTAGCAGACAAACACACAAAAATCTAAACAAATTAAAAAATACCAGACAACATAAACTCAGGCAAAGGGACTTATGATGGGAGAACAAGATAATATAGTGGCACAGTTTTGAATTATCGGGAAACTTAGAAGAAGAAAACTATTATTTAGAGAGGTCACAAGGATCTGTTGACATACAATCAAAAAAATCATAGAGGCACTAAACAGTTGTATCAGCTCTATCATGCAAAACATCACATGTAATTTATCTCATGAGATAACAAAAATAAGAAACTGCAAAAAAAAATCAGATATAAAAGCAAAATACATATAAAAAAAAAAGAAAAAGAATCTTATTTCTGGGGTTTAAACTCTTCCTGCTACTGCAATACAAAGAAGTTTTCCTTTCCTGGTATTGAGTCAGATTCGCCATGTAACCACTCACATTCCAGTAAGCCCATCATGGATCCACCAGATAATCTAGGAGTTGCTTTTTTTGGGTGGGTACTGCAGATGGACACACAGCTTTCTGGTGATTAAATATGCCTCCTCAAACACAGGCATCAGAAACACACCGCTGTTGCCTTGGACACATCCAACAATACATAAACACGGTGACGAGACGAGTACAGGGGCAGGTTACCAACTCCACTCCACTTACTCAAGCCTCTTGTTTTAGCTTGAGAAACATGTTCAAGCAAAGCTAAGCGCCCACTCCTGAGCTATGTTATCACTGTTAACAAAAAGGGGATCAGAAGGAGCACTTTTTAAACATGACCAACTGGAGACAAAGCAAAGAGTTTTCATGGAAAAATGTAAACATTTCCATCTCTTTTAAGTCAGTTTGGCAAAGTTCTTAATATTTTTCAGCATGAACCCAAAGTTTCATTATGATTTATTGGGGAGCAGCCATGCTTCAATGAGGTACCCACAAAAACAAAAAAAGATGATGAACAGATATACAGAAAAAAGGAATAAATGTACAGATGTACTTATATTATATTGCATAAGAGCATGCTTAAAAGAACTTATGCTCTCTTTAACGGCCTCTAAACCATTATGGGGTAAAGCAGGCCTGACTGAACCACAAACTGTGTACAGCTGGAGCATCCTGCCCTGCAGCGGCTGGAGGTTTGGAACCCCTCCACATCCTGCAAGGAGAAAGGGGTACGAGCACGCTGAAGAGGAAACACAATAGCTCTTTCAGTGGTCAAGAAAGCCAGACTAACACAGCCAATTCAAAGTAGGAAAAAAATGTTGGGATGTAGGGGAAATTCATCTGTAGGGAATGTGTTTGCCTAAAGTCAACAGGGATATTTAAAGCAGGCTTCGTACCAAATAGACTTTATTTCTACATATCCTCCCACAAAAACTGCTTATGAGCAACAGGACGTGTTCATTTGCTGCAGAAACTTTGGCTTAAGTCTCTCAGGCGAGCTGTGGGATGGTGTCCTTATCTTGTTGTGGCAGTACACAGAAAGACAGGCGAAGGTTAGTTTGATTATCTATCTGTGGAGAGCTGGCTAAAAGCAGCAAAGTACACTGCTGCTTTGACTGTAACCACACAGAGACCGACAAACACCACAGTGGTGAAAACATTCAGAGATTGCAATGACTGGCTTCTACGGTCACTGTTAGCGACAGTCAGTACAATTATACCCAGTGCTGCAATTCCAAAGAAGAACATGAGGTTAGAGTGGAGAAAGTCCTATTTTAAGCAGTGGAAGTTTCTCCCACCAAATTCAGAGGGCGTGTTATAGAGCAGAAGCAGCGGGTTGGAAAATAAACCACAACTGCAACAGCTAGGTTAGTGTGAATGGGTGTTATTCACAAAGTGCCTCCACTGAGTAGACAGTTGTCTCACTGTTCCCACTATACAACAGGATTAGATGAGTGAAACTAAGAGAGGAACGTGAGAGAGTTTAGATAAAAGCAGAAACCTTTAGGCTCTCCACAACACGAATAAACCATAATCTCTGTGGCCCCCCACTTATGTTAGCAGTCAGGCATGTCTGACATAGATAAGGCAGCTTGTCCTTAACTACTAACTCACTCTTCCTGCCAGTCCTGGGATGTCAAGATCGATTCCTTTGCTCACAGGATTGCAGCTTCAGCCTCTATATTCCCATGCCGGACTAATCTCACACCAGGGAAGCTCTTAATTAAAAAAAAATAAAATAACGTGCAATCCTCTATCAGAGGATCTATAACCAAAGCTGATCAGCTCATGGAGGCTCACTAAGACTTCCTCTTTCCTGGTATTTGAACAGGATATTCAAATCCATATAAGCTGGAACTGTTCTACTTAAGCGATAACACGGTTGTAATCTTGATGCAAACTGCTTTCCTGCGAACATGCATCTGATGTGCTGTTTACCTGTGAGCGACTGGGCCTTACGCTCAGTCCTTTCCTGCAGTTTAAAATTGGAAATGGTATCTTTGCTCTTCTCCAATCTCTGAAGCTGCTGTTTTTCCTTGGACTTGGCTTCCAGGGATTTTATGCTTAGCTGCAGCTGGCTGGTGTACTTCTCATGCTGGGAAGAGACAGCAGGCAGGATATGAGAAACCTCTGGCTAATAATCAGCACAGATGTGAACCATTCTCATACATATAAGGGAGGATATCCAACAGGATCTCGTTCAGGCTAAACACTTCAGTACCAAGCAAATAAGCTCATCGTTTTTACCAAAGCACTTTAAATCAGAAAAGGGACAGGATGTCAGTATTCCTTACTTTAAGAGCTTCCTCTGGGACTCTGTGTTGACTCCTTTCCAAAATATAAACATGGACATGTACAGAACAAGTTAAAGAAATCAAATTTACATCAGTGCAACAGTTTTGTAATATAGATAAGCTTTGCAGAAACAACCAATATACAAAGTTCAAATCTGCCTTAACTTTAAAGCGCTCTCACAGGATGTCAGCTAATGTAGTTTCCCATCTTTTGAATTTGTTGTTACACCAGACATTTTTGCAAGAGTCCTTATAAAACCAAATAACTTTACGAATAAAGCAGAATATATTTTTCCTTCCATCTCCGAATCATGCACCTTTATGATCTAGATGTGGGGAAAAGGACTTGCAGAACTTAAAACAAAGGGGATATTTAAACACCTTTGAAAGTAGGATGGCCATTTGTGGCAGACAGAGTGGTTTGAGTAGTTCAGAATTTGCTGATCTACTGGGATTTTCACCTCTTTACAATTTAAAATGGTCCTAAAACAGAAAATATCCCATAAACTCTGACAAACAGCCAACAGCCAGTGTTTAACAGGAAACTAGCTGGAACCTCTGCTGAAAAGTTAAGCAAATAAAACATAACATTAAAATATTGATGCTTACAGATTTTTGCTCTAGTCAATGTCATCCATTATATTGATCGGTTGACACAGTCATGGCTGAAGTAAAATATTTAACTGGAGCAATTCATTCTAGTTTATTCAGTGAGAGACATATAAAAAAAACATGGGAGATCATAAGTTGTTCTGAAGGACACCAGACACACCTAAATGCATCTTCTCTTGCAATTATCTTAACTAAAGTCAGCCACTCTTTACTTTTTTTTCCTAAGGGTCAAAGGGCCTTTAAACATTTTGCCTAGATATAAAACGTGGAGAATTATTGCTTAAGTAGACAGAAAAACCTCCACACATATCTGCTCATACCAGTTTGTGCAGCAAATCCTAAACTCAACCTGCAGTAACGAAAGAGGAAAAAGAACGTTGTCTAATAATTACACGACACACCCGTTAGGATTAATGCAACAACAGCAGAGTCAGAGTCATCTATGAATGAAAAAGGATATCATAACCGAAGCGGATGACGTCGGACAGCTTCAGAGTGATGTAAGTCTGGTCCGGGATCCTCAGGTCATTCACAAATGTCTGCAAAACAAAACAGAGCTTTTACAACGCCACTACAAGCATATATTAGATTTAAGTTAAAGGAAAACTATACTTGTTTCAAAACGTTTACAAATATCTTGCTAAAGCGTGATGTTTGTGTGTATTCATTCCCCTTAATTCAAACACCCACAAGATAAAATGAAAAGCAATGTAGCAGAAAACTAACAAGATTTCACCCTTAACACACCATCCTTATGATGAAACATGGTGGTGGTAGCATCATGATGAGTGAAAGAAACAGCCATCCATTAGAGGCTGCTAAAGATTTGGAACTAGAGTGAAGGTTTACCTTCCAGCAGGACAGCTGCTATAAACATACAGCAAGCATATTCAAAGCATATTTATGTGGCCTAGTCAAAGAACTAAATCTTAATAATAATCTTCTGCAAGAGAAATGCTCAATCAAATTCAGCTGAAGAAAAATGATAGCCCTGCATATAAAAAGCTGATAAAGACATACTGTTAACGGGTTGTAGTGATAATTGGGTCTACAAAGCCATATTTCTAAATAGGTTTTAAAATAACGGGAAAAACTATTTGCAGCCCAGTTTGTCAGGGTCTTGGAAGGACAGAAGGCCATGTTTTCCTGCAGGAGATTGGAAATGCAATACCTTATAAAATCTTTTTTGACAGTTTATTCTGTCACTGCGGTGCCGTTACTAAGAATGGAAGCTTTATTGCAACAGACACAGACTGCATTACTCTGCATGAGACCCGCATGTTCTCCTGAAGACCCAGGCCTAACTTGGGTAGTACAAGTCTGTGCAACTTTTCTTCTGCATTTTACCTGATTTTCTTCAAGATGCAGCTAAAAAAAAATCAGAGGTGTATAAAAGTACCGGTAGGCTTAAATATTAAGCAGATATTTAGAGAATCAATCGAAAAAAGAAAGTGATCAGAATATTCTGAAAACTAAATCATTCCCCTACTTTCAGGACTAGTGAACCAGTTGTGAACTAACTCCTGTGTTAGGGTGTTTATGTTGCTCTACAAAGTACTAACACAGAGGTAGATATTTTTATTTGTGAGAAATGCGGAATAATTTCCATTTTACTCATCTGTCATGCAAATCTTTATTCTGGTCTATCACATGAAATCCTGATAAAAGACATGGAATTGTGTGGTTGTAAAAAAGAAGTAAAAATAAGTATATATTTCACTCACACAGATTTAATGCTCATGTGCCAGCTTACGGATAAACAGGCTAATTCTTTGTTCCATGCGGTCTAGTCCTGAATGTTTGATTTCTCACTAAAACTAATCCTCCAGCAGATGGGATTATGTTATGTAACAGCAGTTTCAACACTGGTGAGGTGGAAATAAACACAAAATTTATTGTTTACTTTGTTGGGTTTCCTTCTATGTCTAGGAAGATCTGGTAACAAGGGTTACAGTGTTTTTTTTCCCCATGGGCACCTCTGGAGAAACAAGTGAAAGATAGCAAACAAAGACAACCTCTCCTGTGTGCAAATTAAGGTACCAGTTGGTGGATTCCAGGTCTCCATGTTCTGCTCCGATTTGTTTTGGCTTCAGTTACTAGGATCCCAAAAACCACTCACTGACAACAATGACCAGTTTATACTCCCCAACTCTGGAGCTCAGTTAGTGCAGTGAGGTGGTAACCCAGCAGTAACAGGAGAAGGCCCAAGAGTTACAAACAATGGAGCCCTGGCTCCAGAGGAAGAGAGTTTGCTGGATTTCAGCCCTCTGACAACAGTGTGACGCCAAGGACGGAGTAACTCACCCCGTTCAAGCTGCCCAGGTCTTTCACCATGTGCTCATCTCTGTTTGAGTCGTAGTTGATCACAGCATGCTGTTTGTCCACACTGCGTGACTGAAAGACAAGTAAGACACTTTAAATGAAAGCAGTTTGTTAAAACTCCAGTCCATCTAAACCCTAAAAAATAAAATTAAAAAAATTAAAAACTAATCAAATAATACGACAAAAATGTATTGTGCGACATGGACAATGACTGGAAAACTATTTTGATTGATTGAAAGATAAATGTTGCTTCATAAGAGGCATGTGTGAGTTCAGTTCATGGGTTCAGACTTTTCCAAACTATTATTTCAAATCAGATTACAAAGAAACCAGAAAGGCATAATCAAGCAGCTTTCTGTGGACGTAAAACTTGCTTAAAACTGCCAAAGGTGGAAGTGGATCCACAGTGTTCAGCGATATGCATTAGAGATGGATTAAAATAGGTTTTTAATGTCATTGCCGATTATTTAAACATCAGCCTAACAGATCTCCAGTTTGTCCTGCTGAGTTTTATTGCCGTTATTTCTTTTTCTTCAATTTACATGGTAAAAACACAATGATAGCAAATGTCACACAGGTCTCAATTTAAACGAAGAGAAATATTTATCAACAAATAAAACTTAATGTGAAAGTTATCTAATAGCATTGCTGCTGAATGCACTAATGAATAAAGCATTGCGTGCATGTACGGCCCATTAAGATGCAAGAAAAGAAATGCAAGTATTGTCCAAAAACAACTTTAATATGGATTTAGCAGTTTATATGTGCACTTCTAAAAAGTCTTACAAATGGGGCTAGAGGACTAAATGATTGGCCAACTTGGACAGACCACTTAGCTAGAAAACAACTCATTGATCTAGGCAGGTTTTAGAAGAAAAAACATCTGCTCTCTTATGGTTGAACAAGATTTCCTCTTGCTCTTTTTCAGCACAACTTGGCTAAAAAAATGAATGTGAATATAGAACAGAATGAAACATTAGGAGCTAAATTATCTCAGTGGCTCAGACATTGACCGACATTCTAAAAGGAATAATAGTTTAAACTAATACAGCTTTTCATGCACTTCACAAATCTAGCTCTTATGAAAGAATAGTTGAATGGAGGCCAGAAGGAATCCTGTGTTGGGCTCTCCAAAACTAGCGTAATGGGCTGCTAAAATTATACAGAAGATGGCGCTCTGGGGAGAAGAGTCTTGGAGAGCAATGTGTTGTCTATATTATTGAAAAAAAAAAAAAAAAGGTCTGAGTCTTATATTATCACCAAAATTAGGTTGGTGCTTGTCATTCAAGCAGCATTTATCAGTCCATGCAAGTGAGAACAGATGCAGCCTTTGCCATGTTTCTGCCTGTTCTGGTCCCACAGGATTTCACCAACTACTTAAGAATAGGGAGGGATTCTCACAAAGTAGAGAGTTTTCCACACATACAAGGATTGTTGAAATAACCTTGGGTCTAAAGGAGTCTAGCCTCTTAGCAAAAACATTTAAAACTGTAAAACAGCACCTTGGACATCAGCAAGATAAAACTAACATCTATCCTTTTCTAGCAGGTGTTTGCTCGAACAAATACTGGATAAAGGACAATAAAGGAAAAAAATAAGCTCACAATCGTTATTATCTGGAGGCCTAAAAGGAATAGAATTTAAACATCATTTTTCCTCATCACAGCTCCTCCTGTTAACTTGTTACTTATGTAGTCAGACTAATGGAAAAATGTACCTCTGTAAAAAAAAAAGTTTAGAACTTCGATTTTAAAAGTTGTCAACCCAGT